CCGGGTCATGAGAAAAAGAAAGGACAAAGCCTGACCCTGAGGATCTCAACAACAATCAATCACAGCAGACTTGACATGGGAAGACACGATTCGCAGATATATGACCGGACTGTGTAAGAAATCGCCACAAAGAGATGACAGGATAACCTTCACCAGAAAAACATCAAATCAGCAGACGTTGCTTCTCTGCTAACAATAACGAATGATAATGTACATAAAAATCTATAAATATCTACTGATTTCCTCAATAAACGATCTGTTTCCTGGCCCTTTTCTTCTGTCGTTGCACAATTAGTAAACCTGTGAATATGGCTTTTATCCACAAAGTCAATATACAACTCTTCTAAAGTCCGACACCCAAATACTAATTTCCAATCACTCTTGATCCCACTAGAGTCCATTCAAATAAAGTAGTATGAAGACAGACTGGTCCGAACCGGTGAAGACAAACGAACTTTGTTCCACAAAAATACATCACATATAAGTGTTATGTATTGTGAGTGTATAATATTTGGCTTCAAGATTGTTCAATCGCGTTATTCTAAATCTGTCCAGAATGGCATTAACTGGCATTCAGATTAGGCAAAGTCGTGAAGTATATAACAACAAATGATCACTACACATGTATATCTTCTGCGGATTCATGTCTCTTGCTATCAAAATCGTTTCTACTGACTAGACTAACTAATTCTTATGAACTAAAGCACAGATTAGATAATTTAAAATTAGATAATGATGAAAAAATGGTTAGTTTTGACATTGTCAGTTTATATACACGTATACCAATAAATATGGCTATAGAGGCAGTCAGAAACGAACTCATTTCTGACCAAGAACTCGAACTTAGGAGAAAAGTGCCACTTGAGGACATGATGCTGGGAGTGCAGCTAGCTATGCCTGACTTCCACAGTATTTAAATTCCAAGGGAAAATATACAAACAAACTGAGGGAGTTGCCATGGGATCACCAATATCCCCGGTTGCAGCAGATATATTCATGGATAGGTGGGAAAGCAAAGCGATTGAAACGTTCACCCCCCACACCCGAAAAGTATGGTGGAGGTATGTGGATGACACATTCACTGTACTCAGAACACAAGATACAGACAGATATTTCAAACACATCAACTCGGAGGTAGAGGCAATTGAATTCACTTATGAATTCGAAAGTCAGGAATCGGGGGAGCTTCCAATGTTAGATTGCAACGTAAAATGGAAAGAAGATGGGAAGTTAAACACTAGTGTTTACAGGAAGGAAACCCACACATTCAAACAGATACTTGGACTTCCCTCATCCCATCCTATGTCAGTAAAAATAGGAGTGGTGAAATGTTTAATTGACAGAGCACAAAAACTAAGTAGTACTAAGGAAAATCCAAGACAAGAAATGATACACATAAAAGAAGCCTTGGAACTCAATAATTATCCGGATAAATTAGTCATGAAATATGTAAGGAAATGTAAAAATAAAATAAATAATGATAGTAGCGATAGTGATAAAAATAATAATGATAACACTAATAATGATAATAATAATAATAATGTTAATGACGGCACTAACAATAAGGAATCTAAATCATCAACAGTAATTCCATACAAGGAGGGAACGCCAGAAACCACCTTATGAAGAATTCTTAACAAGGCAGGAATAAAAGTGGCTGGCATTCAAACCAACCACAAACTCGATTAGAAACAAACTCTGTCGGTTGAAGGATCCTGTGGAGCCTTTAAAACAAAACAATTGAGTTTATCTAATACCCTGCTGGAATGATTGTCAGGTCAAATACACAGGTCAAACTAGTAGAACAGGGGCAGTCAGTGGGAGTAGCCGAGCATAAAAACCTAGCAGCAAAATCTAGATTGGTTGACACACACACACACACACCGACTTAGACAAGACCTACCAATCCATAAGAAGGAGATCACATGAATGAAAGGTCAACTTCCAAGTCAACGAAACAATCAATACCAAGCAATACAAGTGAAGTGGACGGTGAGAAAACACACACAAATACAACCAATATCACTCAGCGTGTCCAGGACAGATGACTCATAAACTCGTGGAGGAATTGTAGACTGCACTTCAAATTGAAGTGTGAGCTAAGAATGTTGTGTAGAAAGGTAGGCAACGAAAGCTTCTCAACTGAACCATCGAACTCACGGAACACAACAACACCAAAATCATACAACTCAGCTACAAATCTTATCCATCACACTTTATTCTCTTCACTTTCACATTACATTCTAACACAGCTAATTCTCGTTCTTCATTCTCTAACTCAAATCCCAATGTCACTCCGTCCAATATTGAGTTTATAATTGTGAAGTAACTAGAGATATGTTGTGTTATTGACAGCGTGGATACCGTGTTACCCATACATCTCCCCACCATACATTTCGCCTAGAATTATCTATTTTCATGCAGATATCCGGTCACAGGAATTTCGCTGATTGTAGGATTATCGACCTCAGGAAGATTATTGGCTCAGAGAGAAATTCAGTACTAACACAATCCAGTCACACAATAGGCCGGGATTCATATCAATAAAACGTAACATAGTTAGATGTGAGGCGAACTCGATCACTGAATCCTTCTTCTCCAAATTTACACCGAACACTTGTAACACGAAATAAGCCGAACCAACACCAGAGATGTCGTCAATATTATCGGAAATAAAATCAGAGGATAAGAAACAGTAGAAGCATAGAAACAAAATCCGATGTTATGTGAGCACCGTGACAGGATGTTGAGTAATAAATTGTAGTCGACATGTTGTCCAGAAATAATACTGTATCATTCACTGTGTGGCTTTCATCAAATATAACTACTATGTGATGAAGGAATTGATGTCGTGCCTCTTCTCCGCTAAACAGAAGAAGAAGTTGGAATATTTTCAGTCGACCTGGTTTCTCCTTTTACAGGTGAACTGGAACATGTTGATGAGTGAGAAAGCATTCGACAGAGGTGGCGCATGCGATAACCTCACTGAATCAAATCAACTCGAAGTAAATCAAAGTCATTTCTCTCCGCCTGATGTCACCTCTCACTCGATAATCACAAACACCACACCACACCACACCACACCACCCACAAACATATTCCTATCGAGTTTGCAAACTAACTGTATACAGTCAGACATCCAAATAGCACTACTGGTCAACGCTTTATACACCTCAGTCTACTAGACGGATATTCCTAACAATATCAAAACACCACCACCACCACCAACAACAACAACAACAACCACTCACCGACTGACTGACTGACTGACTGACTGACTGACTGTAATAGTATTCCCCTCACAAAACCACGTGTCAGTCAAAACAGCTTCGTATATTATTATGGATGAATAACAAAATGAGTGATTGTTATTAAAAAGCTGATAATGCAAGAAGAAGAAGAAGACGAGTAGTAAGTTAGTTAGTTAGTTAGTTAGTCAGTCCTCCTCGATACAAGTGAATCTGTGATGGGAAGGATGAACTGACTGATGTTGAGTGATGGATGGATGGATGGATGCGTAGAACTCGCAGAAACTGGAACACGGAAAGCATATGAGCCGTAGACCAGAGGGTTGATTGACTAACTAGAGATGTGAAGAGACAAAGGGGAGATGAAATACTTCTCACTAGTCTAAACCATCCACTCACATCTACATAAACCCACATAAACGCCGAGATGACGCGATTCACCTGAATCACAAACACTCCGTTTCATAACGACCAATTGTGAACATAACAAATTCGCCCTACCATATTCTCTGTATGTCTCTCTCTCTCTATATCTATCTCTCTCTCTCTTTCTCTCTCTGTCCATATAAGTGGTTGTCAACAATTCTCTCACCATTGGATGAATGTATGGTGATGTACAATGTCGAGGATGTGTTTGATTGTGTTGAGAAAGTCAACGATATTAGCACGAACAATCAAGCTGTGATATCCTTGGAAACGGTTGACTACATATGTGAACTAATAAATGACAAATCCATGAGTATTGAGATCCCAGTAGAAGTCGTTAAACGATTCCTACTAAAGTGAAAGATGAAGGTGAATGTAACATTTGACGATGAAGCCCGCAGACATGTGGTGGGTGGTGATGCAATGGGTGGACGCTTGTCTGCCTCTAAGCCCGACAGATTTCTTATCGGGTAAACTAAAAGACAGTCCATATGAAAGATTTATCAGAATCTTCATCTTGGTTTTCCGACTCATCGATTCATTTATTCACCTCTCGGCTGTCGACTGTTTATAAATTCGTCGTCATTTAGAAACTCACAGGTGGTGATTAGCACGCATTTCCTACAACTTTCGTCGCGTGTTTCTACGTTTTCTCGACTCCTCATTTTTCTCCGTATTTTAACACTTGTCTCCTTGTCAAGCGTCTTACTTGCGATAATCTACCTCTCCATATTCTAAATCACTTCGTTTAGTCTTATCAAGCTGATTCCTGTTTCCAAGTGCATTCAGTCTTAATGACCACCATTTCTAAACTCCGTTAATCCCTTAATATGGTTGGTCAGATTATTTACGATTAATTAAACAGATTTCGAGATTTATACGTCTTCATGAATTTCACAGTGTTTTCTGAAAGGATTAATCTCACTCCACCCCAACACACCACACCCCACCACACCACACCACACCACACCACACCACACCACAACACAACACAACACATTTGTCACACAAATACTGCTTATCTTTTCATCTCATAAATGAAAACTCATCTGATTTTAATTGAGTACTCCCCCTCCTCCACCATTCTACGTGAAACTGTATCCACTGAAAACCTGTTAATTGCGAAAATAATAAGTAACTCTATCTAGTGACTGTGATTTGATGAAGGGAATTGATGCAAGGCATATGTGGCACATTCACACTGACACTGAATTTAAGTCTCTGGAATGGCTGACTGGCTGGTCAATGCACTCTAGCCTGCCACAAACACCACACACCCATATGCACACGCACACACAGAGACACACAAACAAACAAAGCATGCAGATGAGGTTTCGCTGAACAAGCACGCTCATCATCACTTTGTTCGTGAAGATTTTTCACACACCTCGTCAACCTGTCTCTCGACAGGCAAACGCACACACGCACACGGAGAGGAAGATAGTATGATTTCTGTAATCCACTTGTTCATTCTCAATGCAATTCACCGCCTGGCAGTTTGGCTGGCGTGAAATAAATTCTGCTGGTGTATTCATCCGTCCATCCATCCAATGACCGATAGATCGATGGATTGATCGATCGAAGGATAACTTGCCTACTCTGAGAGATTTTCATGCTGTCATAACGCAGTATGATGAAGAAGAACTGTTCACCTTGTTCGACCAGCCATGGACTAGACATGAATGAAAACAATAAAAAATCTTGGACCCATAGGAGATGAAGAGTACAGAGTCAAAGGCTTGCATTAAAAAACGCTAACATTGACACGCACGCATACGCACACACACACACACAAATGCACATGCACAACATCGCGTTCCCTCAACGAAAATAACACTGCAACTAAGGAATAATTTTCTATAGTTTGGTTTGTAAGGGTTAGTTTTGTTTTTATGATTTGATCACCGATTGATATGAGTTAGAGAATCATTGAAAACCAGCACTGGAGTACTGGACAGCCAGCTGTTTCATTCAACTAGTTTGGGAATCATCGGCAGTACGATCCCACCGCCGCCAGGCTTCGAAGCCACGAACTTCCGGTTACAAGGCCAGCGAGCTGGCTCGTAGACCATTCAGCCACTGGGGCCCCACCCGATTCAGTGGCCAGCCCATGGATTCTAGCTTCTACCAATTCATGATGCATTTAACGCGACCCCGACCACTGTCGTCGAAATAATAAGTTATCAAGATTAATCACTGGTAAACTAATGCTTAGCTTAATGGTGAACAAACTAAGTGTGTGCAAAGTGTACAGAAATCTCAGAGTAATTCATTGCCGAATATTTTCTCCTCATCCACGATCCATCTCCACGTAGAATAGAATAGCAGTCTCTAGTATATCATCAAATGATACAGAGAATTACTATTATTATTATTATTATACGGACGACAGATTAGAGCTGAATTAACTTAACCTTCCTTCAGCATTTGGCTGTTTAATTAGTTTTGAATTTAGTTTTACTATTTCTCTGGGAAAGCAGATAAATTTTTGCCACATCCAGTAATTATGGTGTAGTGTGTGGGTGGTGATGGTGTAGAGAAAGAAGGCTGAAAATTGCATTCTGTGTGAAAAATGATGACACGGAATAACGAAGTGAGTAGTTGAGCAGATACACTGGTTGTGGTAGTCAATTTGTTTATGCATGCATGCATGCATGCATGCATCCGTGCATGTATGCAATCATTCACACACTTTGTTGACTTCTCTCTTTCTCACGCACCCACCCACTCACTCACCCACTCACTCACTCATTCAGTTAGTCAGGCATACACAGACACACTGTCATAGTCTGAATCAGAATTCCAATCCATCCACTACTAATGCATTCCCCAATTGAGAATATTTCAACCAGTTCGTCTGTTTGTAGGCTTGATATAAGTATAAAACTTGGCCACTGTACTAGTTAAGTATAACCCCATTATGGATAAGATTTTATTTTGATAAAGTGTCACACAGTGGTGTTATACAGTAATATTAACTGATGACCACGTTTCCAGCACAAACTATTGCCACTCATAATCATATCAAGTCACTACTCACACAACTTTTTACTTCATTTACATACATGTGTGGAATTGACCAGATATTTGAATAAAAATCAGTATGAGATAATGTACAATCAGAAATAATAATACGAGTGTTATTGATCAATTACAATCAGATGAGAAATAAGACGAGTGTTTTTATAGTCATAATAAGTTACATGTTAGAATGTTGTGATGTGTTTGAATTGAAATAGAATTTTAGGATTATTTATTATCCTCTTCTGATTTGACTAGCGGTAATTATATCTTCCATATTTTTGGTATTTGCATTGAGTCATTTCTGTTGCATGCGTTGGGTGTAGACTCGATGAACAAGGATTCCGTAATCAACCTCTCTCTCTCTCTCCACCTACCTAGATTACTTTTTAGAATTTTAACACTATCCCACCCACCCTATTGTGTGGTTGTTTGTTATTGCGTGAAGTGCAATAGCTGAGCGTTTTTCAAAAATTACTTATCTTCTCGGGGTCAACCATTCCTACCTTAGCTAAATTCTTATGTTCTGACAATCTGACTACCCCTGACCTACTAGTTTGAACTATGTAGTTCACCTAACTCACAGTCATTGGAGGGTATTTTGTAAATTATATTATTTTGTTTAATCGGGTCCACCGGGTCTTTTAGCCTACACAGCTTGTTCTGTCTGAGTGAGTTTGTAGGTTTGAATACCACCCTAATTCCTGCTTTATTAAGAATCCTGCGTAGGGCCTCAGATAACCCCTTCTTATATGGTATAACAGTAGATGACTTATATTCTCTCTTATTTATGTTATCATTGCCAGTTCCACAATTATTTTTATTTTGTTTTGGGCCTTTACTGATCTTCCTAATGAATTTCATAGGATGGTTATTCAATACCAACGCTTCTTCTATCTGTTTTATTTCGTCATTTAGGTCTTTTCTTGTGCTACTTAGTAGTGCTATGGCTCGGTTTGTTAGACACTCACTTCACTAAGCCTGTCTTCTCAGACAGTTAACGGATGAGACGAATTAAAGTCTAAATATTTATTAGTGGAATGCGTTGGTTTTCAATAAACACTAGTGTGTAGTTTACCTTCTTCTATTCGTTTTATCTTTCAATCTAACATAGCTAATTTTCCTGGTTCATTTTCTGATTCAAATATGATTTTTATCCCCTCTACTTGTGAGTTTTTATGTGTCAAGAAGCTAAAGATATGTTCTTTTTTTAACACTGTGAGTGAAAGCGTCATTCACATATCTCCACCATATTTTTGGAGTAGGAGTAAACGTATTAAGAGCATTACTTTCCCAGCTGTCCATAAATATGTCTGCTACGATAGGGGATATTGGTGATACATCTCATTGATACACCTTCTGTTGGTCTATATATTTTACCTTGAAACTTTAATATATGATATGATTATGAGTGGCAATAGTTTATGCTCGAAATGTGGTCATCAGTTAATACTACTGTACAACACTGTGTGACACTTTATCAAAATAAAATCTTATACATAATGGTGTTTGTAGACTGTGTTTTCCTGTTCTGTTATGCTGAATCGTTCTAATGAAAAACAGACTGTTCACATTGTTCAACCAATGAGAAATTAGACATGACATGGTTGAGAAGGTCTGAAGGTCACAGCTTGACTGGAGACTAAGCATAGAGGGCAGAGAGAGGAGGAGGGAGAGGGAGAGTGAGATAGGCTGCATGCAGGTGGACTAACTTACCCACACCCACACAAAACGGCATCATGTCGTCCAATGAAAACACGAGTTTGACCCTAAAGTCAAGGGAACACTGCTGATGACCAATGAGACGGATTACATAGAAAAAATAACAACCAACGATCGATACATCGGTCCTAGCCGTATCACTTTGAAAAGTCGACGTGATTGGTTGACACTGGTATCCTCGCATCATGCATGTATCTACTTTAAAGTAGCAAACGCTAAGCGAATACACAGACAGATTAGATTAATTCACCAAGTATAACTAACAAACTAACAGCGGGAAGTACTAAATCGTAATACGGGATAGATATCCGTGAAAATCAATCAATCAATCAATCACTGGATTATTCCTTAAAATGGCCACTGCACATCCGACACATTCTGAACTAATCAGACAACAAGCGAAGTTAACCACGCCGACGAGATACACAAGCGACGAAATGAAAGCATTGACGGGACTAGTAGTCGAACACATGAATGAGCTTTTACCACATTATACGTGGATGAAAATATCAAGATGTCTTCACTCAAAGGGTTATCCGAAACGACCTTGGACTCAACTTCGTCGTAAAGGACAACAAATACTCAGAAAGATGAATTTGACCACCGCAGACAGGCCGAACACACCATGTCAGGAGAATCCGGGATCATCTGAAATGACTTCTATTCACCCGGTGACCAGTGTAAACAGGGATGAACCTGTGAGTGGTGAGTCTAGTTGGGTATGTTCACATTTTATAAGGACATGTTAATCCTATTGAATGAAGATAGGTACAACGGACTCACGTGAACATAAGCTGTCCCTCCCATTGCTCACTCCTGCACCAAGTGTTCAATTTATTGTGGATGAGGATATTGTTTTATCCGTTTCGAGTGATGAGGACTGTTTGGATGAGATGGGTGGAGAGGAAGCTGATAATGACGAAAGGAGGAATAGTGGTACAAGTGACCAAGGTCATAGGTGAGTGAGTAATGATGTTTGCTATGTTAACTTGTCATGTCATGTACTGTACTATACTGTATGTACTATGTTGTGCTGTACTGGACTTACTTTCTGATTTCTGTTGATCGTTGATAAACTCGAATTGTGACCCAATAAGTCGTGATTGTTTACCTTTTTGGTGATTTACGTCTATTGTTGTTGTTTGGTAATGTCAGTAAGGAGTCAGTAGAGAAAACAAGAACTTTGAATCCTTCCAGTTTCACCCATTCATTACCTATTGTTTCCTCCAATCAAGTGTTTCCTACCGAAATGGCTACTCGTCATCATCAACATCATCATCGTCGTCACCTGAGTAATTGTAATTGTCAACTTTCTCGATTGACTGAGATTATTCGTGGATTTTTTTCATGGATTGTTGCTTCTCATACACCCTGACTTCTAGTCTGTGACTAAATGACAATTCCCTTCGAGATTACTGTTCAACTAAGTTTGTGTATATAAACGTGTGAATAAGTGTGGAGCTTTGAAGTAGAGTTACATGGAGGGATGTCTTTCCTGACTGATGTGTGTGTGTGTATGTGTGTGTGTAAGGTACTGTGCGCTAACACGTTTCATTGATACATATTGTTTATCCATGTGTTCGTGTGA